GGGCGAGGACCTGTGTGTGTGTGTGCGGTGTGTGGGGCGCCGAGCGCGCGGGCCAACATATCAGGCCATCGCTCGGCTTATCTACGCTCCTTACACGCAACACGGGCGCACGGCCACGGCGCTAGTGCCCACGCCCCAAGGCCCGGGGCCCCGGGGGGCGCGGGCGGCGGGGGGCGGCGGGGGGCGGGGCGGGGGGAACGGGGCGGCGCCTACGGGGTGTGGACCCTGAGTTGACCAGGGGTTGTGCGCTGGGCCCTCCTGCTCGGCTTTAGCCAGTAGACAAGTCTTGTCATCAACAGAGTAGATGGATCTGACCTCGGGGCCGATGTGACCAAGCGCTGGTAGCGTGGTTTAACCTCACACCCATGGTCTCACAGTGTGCCGGCAGTCGCCGAGCAGTGTCGCTCACACATCAAGCCGCAGCACAAGTGACTGAGGGCCAGTGAGGGCGAGCCCATCGCTGTGACAGCTGTGGCAGCCGCACAGTAGGCTGTGTCAACTGTGCAGAGTGTGTGAGCAGCAGAGGAGCTGCTCTCCAGGCTTCTGTCGCAAAGAGCTGCATGCCACCGAAAGCGCTGTCGAGGTTCGCCGAGGCAGCGCGGCGCAGGTTGGGGGACACCGGTCACCGACGAGCGCGTTGGAGTATTCACTCCGGACAAAGACGGCCACACGCACACGAGCTGCGGCCGTGTGGCCGTCATAGCGGCGAGAAGGCGCGGGACCGTCTGTGGCGAAGTGGGTCGCGTCCCCCCGATTTCTATATATACCAAAAGGAGGGCTACACAAGGCCCTCTACGCTGGGGCGCCGCCGATTTCCTCAACTCACGGTCCGCTCCCTCTATCCGCGGGCGCACAGCGCGAGCGGCGAGGGCCGCGTGACCGCATAGAGCCGAGCCGTTCCTTCGAGGCGACTTTGGGCAGGCAGCCCTCTGAGATGCGTTCACCTCAGTCTTCACACACTACTTTAGGGCTGGAGTAGGACAAAAAAACTCCCCCAGAATTTTGCCGCCGCGGGCCCGCGGCGCATGGCCTCGTACTCCTCGTCCGGAGACAGGCCAAGCAAGACCAGGGGGCCAGGGGGCCAGCCACAGCCAAGGCACGTGACAGAGGCATCAGTCCGCCCGCACACAGAGCCGCCGTCGGGAGGACCGCGTCCCCGCCCCCTCCGCTGCCGCAACTCCCGCCGCCGCTGCCGCCGCCGTCACTCCAGCTTGGCCTCGTTTCGCGCCTCCGACGGGCGCGATCGGACCAGCGAACCACGCACAGTCATCCTCGCCGCCGCCGGGGACGCGTGGGCGGGTAGCGCCCCGACGGACGGTCGCGGCGGCATC